GCAGGAATGAATTATCAAGCATAAGGCTAAATAAAAATGAATTATCAACTGAGCTAATGGAAGAGAAAAAGAAACTGCTATTCCACAGATCCTAGGCGGAGGTCACCTTGGCTTTCCACTCATACACGAATATTTTACTGACTTGGAATTGATCCGTCCTTAATCTAGATTTATTTACAATGAGGGTCTTGGCATTTCTCACAAATGACACACATTAGCTCATCACATGGAATATACTGAAGGCTGAAGATATATCTGACGGTCCTTTGCCTCCTTGAGAGCAGTTTTCTAATTCGGAAAATGATTCTGCGTTTCAGTGAGACAGAGGTTTCTTCGCAGTAAACAACAATAAAACAATCAAGCAAATCATCTGCATTCTCTGCTCTCACAGGCAGTCATAATGTAAGAACCAACTGTGATTGCTGAATTTGTGTGTTCTAGCAAGAGACCCAGGGTTGAATCCAACCTTCGTTATAGCAACGAAACTAATTCAGTCAAGGAGGATACACAATCAGAAGGTGAGGCACCTGTATTTCTCTCCCTCTCGTCCCAGCCTTCCTAGCTCTTTTCCGGAAAAAAATTAATTAAAGGATTAATGCATCTTTCCCATATATCAATTTACATAGTATGATCCCATTGACTTGAATGTGGAGTTATTCCAGATCTTCACGACTGTGAGGAAGAAGAAAGGCTGTTCCATCACTCTAAGTATCCACTTGCTAAACACACGGATCAATGAGAACACAGAGAGGGATTTACAAAAACTTGTCCTCTGTCTGCTTCAAAAACCCTATTTACAGGTTACATTCATACAATGGTTTTTAAAAAATCAAGGACAAAAAGAAAAGGAGAACATAATTTTAGTGTGGCTTTTTTTTTTTAAACGCATGGCAAAACTGTAGGAGACTGAAGGCCTGCTAGTCAGGAATCCCTCTGCTGACTTTGCCTTGCCTGTGTTTCTCAGCTCCTCAATGATACGATCACTACACATAGGGTTGGTTCAGAAATATCTTTAAGTGGGTACTCATTTTAAATGTGCAAACAGCATCTCTAATTTCAGCTTAACGTTTTGGCTTCTAATCATAAAGCAACCACCAGAAGAATTTTCTCCATTTTCTTAACCTGTCACAATTTCTAGGGCTTTTTGCTATCTCTTTTCCTGCTTCTTCCTCAATGACAAAGCACAGAGCCAGAATGCACATAGAGTTTGAGCCAAAATCTCACTTACTGCCAGGACAACAGCATTGCAATTGCAAAAGTTACTCCAGATTTCTGTTGATGAAATTGGAACTGGACCCTAGATTTTCTTCAGGCTACCATTAATGTTGTACAGCTTAAGTACTATCTCTAACGTCTGTAAATGTGTCTTCTCTGTCCCAAGCTTAATCCCAAGAACAGGTTGTGTGAAATGAACTATATGGTCTCGGATAATTCAACAACTGCATGAAATTTACTTTTTCCAGGTTTATAGCACCTAAATCAAGGCTGAGCGTTTACTGTACCTCCCAGTCCAGAACGGAGGCCTGCCACTGAGCTATCTTGTCAATGTTCTCCAATCTCCGCTTCCGCTCGTTGATCTGTAGGGTCACGTTCCTCATGACGGCGAGAGCAGCAGCCACATACCTGTAGTCGCTGTCGAACACAAAAGAAAAGTCCGTGAAATGGAGCCTCATGTGCAGTGGAAATGCTCAGGAGTCTTATTGTTAACAGCAGCATAATCTCAGCATCCCTGTAAAAAGAAGGTATGATTTGCCACTCCGTTCTATGATGCCGTGTTTTTGCCCCTCAGGAATGTCTTTCTGGATCATCACAAAAGAGCAGCTTGCTTGAAACTGAAATCGCCTGTGTATGAGACAGCGAAGCCAGCCAGCTCCTCAGCTTGTTTGCATCAGGGTAGCCCCAATGAGTACAGTCTAGCCTCTGCCAACCCAACGTACGACAGCTAGGAATATTGCTCTGTAAAGTCTTAAGGTGCTCAGCTAAAGAGCATCCTAAAAGAAAGTCTGAACATTTTTATAGCTTGTGTCTTTGGGCCTGGATTTTTCCACTTTTTAAAATGAACCTATTTATCGATCAGGCACAAGGCGAGAGCGCCTTCCAAGCCATAAGGTGACTCCAAGAGTGCCACAGAGCATTTATCCCATGGCATTCACTCTTACTGCAGACTTCAGGTGAGCAAATCAAAGCAATTTTTTTTTTTTTTTTTCCCCTGGATGGGCCTGTGAGTGTAATAACAAAGAGTGAAAATAGCCTCCTGCCAGGACCAGCAAAGATGATGATCAGTCTTTTTGAAAAGTGATGCTGAAATCAATGCTATTGATTTCCGCCCTGTGCCTTCTTTTCCATTCCAAGGAACCTTAATGTTCATTTCAATCGGAAAGACAGACAAGGCCAGCTGCCATAATGCTACCATAATATATTATTAACTTAAGGGTTGATATTGATTGCTGACTAATGAGAAAAACTGTGATCTTGGGCAGCTGCAGGGGGGAATGGCTTTATTGATTATTGCTAAGAATTGCACTGGTTACAGCTAAAATAGGGGTGAATGCTGTGAATGAGATCCATTTCCCCATGTGATCCAAACAGGATAAATATTAAGAAACAATCACAATATGATATACAACAGAATATTACTTGCTATTTTGCCATCCTTTCTTGGGTGAAATCTTGAGATGCATTTTCAATTTTTATTCAATTCTTATGTCAAAATTCCAGCTGAGGTTAAAAAAAAAAAAATCCTACAAATTCCAGAACATAAGGACTGGTCCTTCAACAAAGTGAAGGAGACTAGAGGATGTCTGACATATCCATCATGATAAACAATGAAGAATTTCTTGTGCCTTCCTTTGCGGGGCCATCTGTATGAAGCGAGCGCCTGGTTGTGTAAGGGAGAAATGGAGCTACACCAGAGAGACATTAGTCTGGTCTTCAAAATGTCCATGAGTTCTTGTAGGGAAACAGGTAAGTCACTATGGTCAGAAAGGATCCGCAGAGGTAGGGAGTGGTGTAGGGTTCAGAGACAGCCCCTAATAATCTCCTAGCCATTATGCTCATGCAAAGAAGGGAGGCTAACGTCTGTCCACCCGTTAGCGGAGTCTCCTCTTTCTCACGTAACGTGTTCCTACACTTCTAACTCCAGCTCAGTTCTGCAGCAGGAACGCTCAGGACACCAGCAAGCTGCACTTAGGACCTTCATATATTTAATTCATATTAAGCTGGAATAAATCTTTAAGAGGTGAACAGATGTGGCTTTGTGAAAAATTCAAATGAACCAGTCTCAAAACAATAAGCAATTGAAGGGAGCCAGGCTCTGAAAACACCCCCATGCCTGCCTCCGTGCGGAGTGGGCCGGTGCCAATCAAGCTGGGTTTTATCTTCGTAATGCTAATTCACTAATTCTAATGTTCTGTTTGAAGAGAAAACCCCATGTGCATTTTTCTTTCACGCAGTAATGAAGAAAGAGTCATGACTGAACTTTTTGGGCTCCTAGCCCATGTCTGTGGCAGAGCTGGCAAAAACTTAGAAGAAAAAATAACAGAAGCAAAGCATTTGGCCAGTGAAATAATAATAGGATAGCATTAACTATGAAATTAATTGTTTGTCAATTATATTGGGGCTGCAATGACCTCTTTGCAGTGCTCAATCAGAATGCAAGTCTAGACTCTTGCCAAATATCACATGCTAACTTGGGGGAGAGTGGTCAGGTTTCTGGTTTCAGCTCTGTTGTCCTGACCTGGTACAGGGAAGATCCAGAGCTCTACAAGTACGGTATTAGTGAAGAGGAAGAAAATAAAAAAAGGTAATATAAAGCCCCACTGTTAGATGAAGCTAGTGTATTTGTTTTCATTGGGATTCCTGGTCCTTTCTGAGTTTTGCCTTACTCCGTAAATGGTTCAATTGATTTAAACAGTATTTTCTACATATTAAATTCTAATCAGAGTGCCCAAGAGACTCCTGATCCAGCCAATGATGAGCCTGATTTCACTGGGAGTATTAGTCCACTCTGTCATTTTCTAGCTTCGGTTTCAGACTCGCAATCTAATTGCGAGCGCTGTCAAACTCCGACCAAGTGCACGAGGACAACTCACCGCCTGATTAATGGGCCCAGCTGAAGCTCCCCGGCTGGCTTCTCAGTTTCTCTCATTCATAGCTGACCCTGACGATATCCCAACACGCAGGTGTCCGGCTTTTCCCTGTGTCTGATATTGTCATGACATGACATTCCCCAAAGATTATTTGCTCTTCCCATCTCAGGCTTTGCTCATCTCAGCCCCAATCCCAAAGCCAGAATTACTGGAGCAGAAACTATTTGTATTTCAAGCAGGCAACCACGGCAGCCTGGGCTTTCTGCACAGCCCCAGTGCAGAATCATCTGGTGGTGGGACACGCTCTCTGCGCCCCACTCTCCCCGTTCGTGGCATTGAGCTTGTCCGGGACGCAAGCTGGGTTGCCGGGAGGATCGGTCCCTCCCAGGCAATTTGAGGGCGTGCATCGGAGGAGCTAGACCCCAGGGCGGTGTGGGATAACCCACCCCACTTCTGCATTATCACACCATTCCTCCACGAGCCAAGAAACTCTCCAGGGCATGCCCACGCTATCGGAAGAACGCCACGCTCCAGGGCTGAGACAAGGCACAGGGCTTTTGCTGGCTCTCTGTGCAGGCACGAGTTTCATACATGCGCTGTGTTACAGCTTCAGGGGGCTTACTCTCTGCTAATGTGAGGCAAACAAATATAATCCTGCTTTCCCTTTTCAGAAAACGAAGAAACAAGAGAAATGAAGTACCCATGGCTGTCCTATCACTGCCACAATCCAGTAAAGAAGAGCTCCCGGTTTGAATCAACTAATTTTACTTAACCATAGGGAAGGTCCCAGTCTCCTCAGAATATGACTGTATCTGATTACTTAACAACATGTTGATTTTAAAAGATCCCAAAGGAAAAAGGCATGTACTCCCAAAATAATTCAACCCTTGTGTAATCACACTGTCCACATCCCCTTTGGTATTGCTACCAAATAACTCAGAGAAGGTCACTTTAAACACAGACCTCTTCTCTCTGAGGCTGCTAATGTCCTCCCGCTGTAAAGCCGCATCTGAATCCACACTGTAAGTACTGCAGGGACATCACATGGCTGGTAAGGAAAAAAAGCCACAACATTTGGGATCCTAGGGCTGCTTTTTGATATCCTAATGTTCCCCTGAGTCCACTCCAAGTTTGATTTGGTCTCGTTATGAAGGGAAAACCAGAAATTGGATCTTGGAGCCAAACGAACTGGGCATTCAGCTAGTATGAATCAGTCAAACTCGTGAATCAGGTCAAAGCAAATCAAGGCATCTCTCTGCTCACATCATGTCTCTCTGCACTTCTAGAGCTGGGTTTGGGGAAGAACAAAAAAAATCAAACACTTGCAGAAGTTTCTGAAACATCTGTGGTCTTTTTTTGTTCTCTTCCTTTTAAATGGGTTTTAGAAAAAGAAAGAAAACTGGCAAGGCAAGAGAAAAATCTACTCTTAGGGGGCCTGATTCTTCTTTCGCCTAATTTTTATAGCAGTATATCACAAATGGTATCATAGGTACTACTCTTGGTTTACACTAAGTCAGAGAGTCAGGCTGATTGCCCTCAGCAGCAGCAAAAGAGATCCTGGAAATTTTGGGAAGTAATCAAACTGCTGGGTGCTCCTCTGAACCTAAACTCAATGGCAGAATCAGAGACAGAATCAGGCTGAAAAGCAGAGCAGGTTCTGAATTCCCCCCCAGATGTGAGCATATTCAGGTTTGAGTTGTGGATCCTGGCCCTCTACTTGCTATGTGCTGAAGTCCTCTTCAGGATAAAGGAACGAGCTTTTCTGACCACTGAATGCTAATTAGTAATTTTTCTAGTGTAACTGGTAGCATCAGAAAGTACATCCAAGGGTAATTAGTTCACATGTCTGATTATAACAGAGATGAGTTTGGCTCCATTGAGAATCAGTGCTTTGAGAAGCTTTCTAACTGTCTGTCCCTGCTTCAATTTATACAAGATGTCATGAAGAGAAGACCGGGAGGGAAAAAAAACCCAACCCCTGTGTGTGTGCAGAGGCCACGTAAAGAAGCAGCGAGCAAAACCTTTCCATGTAATCAGGGATGGGCGTACCTGTGATCCTGCGCGGTGTACTTCAGTAGCTCCGCGAGCTGCAGGGGGTATTTGCAGATCTTCTGCACCGGCGTCAAAAGGAAACCGTCTATGGCAATATCAATCATCTGCTGCAATAGACGACACGCTTCGAAGAAATGCTGGTACCTGCTATCTTTCATCAGCTTGGAAAGCTCCATGCATGCATCCAAATGGTTGTTACAGTACTCCGAATAGATCCAGAAGCCATCTTGCTGTGAGAGGCAGGAGAAAAGGGATGCACACAGAGGGGAGCACACGTCAGACCAGTGCAGCGAGCAGTCAACCACCCGGCTTGCCAACAAGGAGACGTTACAACTAAAGAAGAAAGAATACCCCAAGCAGGAGGAGGAAGGACTGATCCTAGAGTACTTCTCCTGCTTGGAGGAGGTGCTGCATGGTTGCTCTGGGGGAAAAGGGAGGCGGAGAGGGACCTGCACGCTGACACGTCGCTGAGGTCTCTGTAGGTACAGGGTGCGTTAAGGTGAGCCCCTGTGCAGCGCTGTGGGTGTTCTCAGTTGCAAATTGTGCGGTGGGGTTTTCTTTATAAAAGGTAAAGGTAGAACCAAGCAGAGCTCTGGCCTTTAGTAATACAAGAAGACAACCTTGTTATTTCTACAGCTCTTTCCCTGAAAGATCATCAAGCACCTGGCCAGTGTTTAGGAGCTGGGTATATCTGAAATTCTCTTCACCAACAGGGAACCCGAGGCACCGACCACTGTGTGGATCTCCCCAGGACCAGAAAGCCAGAAAACACCAGAGACTGGAAAAACAAACACAAAACCACTCACACATGTGCCCACCCACCCTTTGCACCGGTCTAACAAGTCTCTTTGTGCTAATTTTGTTGGAATCTCCTTTTTCTGCCTTCACTGACCAGAGATGGGGCCGTGGCTGTCGGTCACCCTGAAACTCAGGCTTGATTCATCTGGGCCACACGGACAAGGCAGACGAAAGGTCGAAGAGAGATTACACTGGAAGGGAGAGACAGACACAAACTGCCTGCCCAATATCACAAATTAAGACTGGAGTTGAGACAGCCCGGATATAAGCCCAGGTGTTGCAGGTCAACAGCCTGAGATGCTACATCAGGTTGTGGTCGATGCCTTACAGACTATAAAAAGGACAGATTGTTTTTTTAAAAAAATACACTTGACTGGCAATTCTTATTTCTCAGTCCCATAAGGGCCCAAATAACCTGCCTTTCTGGGAACAGGGGAGCCTGGTTTCCTTCCCATCCCCAGAGCTGACCAAGAACCAAGCGCTGACACCTCTCTCTTCCTGAAGCAGATCAGGAACAAGATGCTTTGCAGATCCATGTAACAGGATCTTAACGTCCTCATCCCTCAGTTTCCCCAAATGGCTGAACAGGGATAATTTATCAGGAGTTTATTAGCCAGCTTTCAGCCCGTACCTGATGACAGGCAAGTGTCAGATATTCCTCCAAATAACGGTAGTAATTCTTACTATTGACACTGTAAATGAATTGACAGCACAGCCTTGAGACATGAAGTTTTAGCTACTGATTCTCCCCAAGATTTCTTACACCTTTTTAGCAGAGAGGTGGAATACGATGCTGCTTTGGAAGCAAGCAGCAGAGATGGCACGCTCTGATAAAAACGAGCAATGCTAACGCCATCACGCAGCTTCTCAAAAAGAAACCTGCTTTTCAACGAGAAGACCAACGATGCTTAAGAGATGCCGTGAACCTTTTTAGGGACGCCCTGCTGAAGTTTCATGAATGCCTATCAGAAATTTCTCTAATAAGAAGTGAACTGTTGCCAGCTCAGCCCCGACTGCAAGTAATGAGGTGACAGAGTACAGGATCTGCGTGCCGGGTTGGAGCACCTCATACGTAAGCTCTGATACAGCACTTCCCTCTCCCTTAAAGGAAAGCCTAGAACTGCAGGACTATAATTTTCTTGACATTTCCTGACATATTTACAACACTGGCCAATTTATCAGCTCCTGTAGTATGAGGCTTATGTAACAGTACGATGGGCCGGGCAAAAGCCTCCGGGGCTATATCATCAGCTAAAATGTCCCGTTCAGTGTGCACTTAGCGTGAGCGAGTATCTGCTGCCCTGCTGCCACCCGGGCAGCCAGAAGCACGAGCTGACACCTCCCCACCCGGCCCAAGAGCTCCGCAGGGGAAGGCAACTGAAGCTGCCTTGGGTTTTTCATCCCTTGCAAGTGCATCTCGGTGCCACAGCGACCAGCCCAGGCGTTTGCTCTCCTCTGCTTTTTTTTGTGTAACACACAACTAAGGCCTCTTTTCACTCCTCTGGACTTTCTTACCTCTTCCAACCTTCTGGTCATCCATGACCTGATGAGGATGGCCTGTGAGTGGGTTTAAGTCTGAAGAGCAAAAGAAGGTGGGGAGAAGGTAAGGGACATCGCGCCCACATAATATGATTAGGGGTGAATGTGAAAAGGTGTCAGGATTCAAATGCACTGGGGGATTATCCAACTATATGCTTCACTTCAAATTCTCCCTTCTCTATATCTCACGAAGCAAACAGAGGGCCATGGAGTAGTCCCTGATATGCAACCAGAACACTACTGATGCACAAAAGTTATTCTGAGTGGTTCCTGCCTCCTGACTTTTTCTGCTACTCCTCCCCCTTGTCCCCCACCCCCCAAAACCAACCCCAAACCTCCTAAACAAAAGTGCTGAATTAACTTACGTGTTCAAGGAAACATGGTCCAATTTCACTGAGATGGGGGTCTTCGTTGTTGTACTGTTTCTCCAAGTCCCGGACAAAACCCATCTGAAATCTGTAGATATCTTCGATGTTACCAAAGATGATTTTTAGCTGTTCATCACTGAACATATCCCTCCTCTTCCGGCACTGCTTTAAGTAACCCTGCAAGGAGTAAGAAAGAGCAATTCATAAAATAACCCAAATGCTTATACTGAGGCTGCTCCCAGATTATTCTTGAAGAAGGAGCAAGTAAAAACAACATCAGAAAATGGCTATGAAAACAAAATCCAGATGTTATGACATGACAGTCTCCATCAACTCCTGTCTATGAGTAAGCATGCAATATGCAAAACACGCCTTGAAATGCTATGAGTCCTTTTTTGATTAGACAACATCTCATTTGCAACTGCTGGTTCCCCCCGCAACCTACAGCAGACCCACCGCAGTGCTCTTGCTAAGGACACGCTAGCCCCAGCATGCACAGGGCTCCGCAGCCTGCGTCGGGAGGTGCGGGAGGCCGCGCGTGTACAGCGCGCTGGGAGGACAGCGCTGCGTTCTGCCTCAACGTCCCTCAGCATTTTGCATGGAACAGTTTTGCAAAGGGAAGGTTCCCCAGAGATCTCGACCAGCACAGCCTGAACGGCTCTGCCCCTACCTGTGCTGCAGAGAACAGCAGAATTTGGCTGATAGCTCCCAAGAGGTGTGTTACAGTACTGTATGCCCGTTCCTTCAAAAGTCACTGCCTCGCAATACCAAATACCCAGGATAGCTCCTAGAAACATTGCTGTTTCCACGTCCTCTTCAGTGGCACATGGCAGAGAAAGCTGCAAGGGGCTGTTTGATCCTGCCCACTCTGATTTCTCCTTTTAGCCACGGTAATCAGGACAAGGAAGCTGATAATCATGCTGAGAAATACTCTATTATTGCATGCCCTTGGTCTAGGCAGAGGGTATGGAGGGTGTAACCACCCTAGCTGTTCCAGCACCAAGTGAAATGTTGAAGGGAAACACTCTTCAAGCATTTCCTGACTTGGGAGGCAACGTGGTTTATCCGCCCCATTATTCATCTTCCTGAGTCCGAGGCAATGGCAGGAGGGCTGCTGGCCTGCGAGTGCCACGGCGGGGAACCCGGGAGGCGATGCAGTGGGTTGGGTAGGTGTTCTGGCTTGCCCGAGCAAGGCAGCCACAGTGGGAGCAGCCCGAGCTGCTGATCGATGCCATCTAGAGGAAAGCAGCATTATCTTAATTTTGTTTTCTATACCCTCCATTCCATTAGCACAAATATGCTATTCCAAACAGCATAAAACGAGGGAGGATTTTCCTGCTGTCTTCTCAACTACCATCTTTCATTGCTTTTCTTCCTTTTTGAAGCGGGACCAGAGGAAACGGCTTTGTACCCTTCTCTGTAGAAACATCAGGCTCCCATACTGAGTCTACAGACATGTAAGTCAAATGGAGAAAGAGAGAGGAAGAACTAGGATGTAGAGAGTTTAAGGAGACTCTCCAAAATCACAGGATGAATCTGCAGTAGATTTGGAAACCATTAAGATCTCCTGTGTCTCGGTCCAGCACAATAATAAAAAGATCCTCCTTGTTTATTCGTCATCTGCCCATGTTACCCATTAGTACTGAGCCTGAGCTTAGCTGGACATCATATGAACACAAATCAGTAGGCGAGCACTGCCCTGAAGATCTCCTGACCTAAAAAGACTGAGTGGATCAATATTCTGGCGAAAAGGATAACACACCAAGTTCTGTCTGCCTCCCCATTTTGCTGACCCTGCCTTACCCACGAACTCGCCATCCTGGTTGCATCACGAGGACTTCTTCAAACACACTTGCCTGAAGCACACGTGGTCCTGGGGACGGGGTGACACATGGAGGCTCTGGGTGCCTGGGCTGAATTTCTGGCTCTGCCACCGACCTGTGCGACACTGAGCAAATCACTTCATCCCCCCTGACTTCGCCTGTCTGGATGATTTAGACTAGAAACTTTGCAAGGCCAAATATCCGATGCTCTGCCGGCCGGGTCTGGACTGCGGCCTCTTGACTGCAAAGAAATAACACGCGGGTCATCATGAGATGACTTTGCCTGCCTTTATTATATAGGAAGAGGGAAAAAATGCCAACAGCTCCAGTTGAATGGCTATATTTGGGAACTCTAGATGCTTAGTCACACAGACAAACCGCCAGCTGGTGACACGCAGCTGCTGGTCCACAATGGGAACTATCGGAACGCTATAATAAACTGTCCTTCAGCCTCACCATGTGGTTCCTGGGAGGGGGAACTTCAAACAGATGAATGATGAATGCAACTTTGGCCGACCTGGCAAAGAACCAACCTCTGCGATGTCCAGCTTAGCTAGAAGGATGCCACTACCCTGAATTTGCTGGCTTTTTCAGCTGGGAAGCTTGGGTTATGGAATACCTTCCGTATTTACTAAATCTAGGTCTCTCTTCTTACAGGAGCTCCTTGATGACTCATTTCCCTGGGTTTCCCCCTTTTATTTTTTCAAGGCCAGGAGGAATGGGAGCAGGCTGGTTCCCATGTTGCAGGGCAAATTAAATTTGAAACTAGCAAGGAATAATGCAGAATACCTTTCCATGCTGCTTTTCATGTTTACCTGCTTATCTCAGAACAGCTTTCAAAAAAAAAAAAAGAAGAAAAAAGATGTGCACCTGCCCACGAGGCCGGGCTCTTTTTGACAGGGGCTTTGGTGCTAGCAGTGCTGAATGACTGCCGCAAGCCATTTGTGTTAGGACCTTCGCCACGCTGCAGGCTGCCTGCAAGCCAGCCTCCCCTCTCGCATACTGTTCTCTGAAATCAGTCACTGGATGATTTATGTGAACATCTTTCAGCCCTGGGGTTGCTATTGGCTGCGACTACCGTCTTGAATATTCCCCGTCCTCCCGGTGCTGGTTCATCACTTTGCCCGAGTCACGTGTTCCAGGGAAGCTGAAGCAGCACATTTGTGTACAGGCACCTATAAAACCACAGGGAAAATAAAAGAACGCGCGGAGTTCCCAAGCCTTATCCTCTACCCAGCCTGTGCGTTTGGATGGTTGGTTTCCAGCACAAGCCAGCAAAGGGGAGACTGAAGATTTATATATAACACGCAGCAAGAGCCAGCTAGAAGGCTGCTGCGTAGTTTTTCCAGTAAATTTACTTCTGTTACATAAAACAATGTCATCTTCCTTCTGCTCATCCCTTCAGGTTTGCTCAGAGAAGGAATAGCTGACTGATGAGCAGATGTTGGAGAGTGTTTTGCTCAATGAATACCTAAAAATAGCTGTCAAACTGTCTCCCTTTAAAGTACTTTTCCATGTAGTCCCTGAAGTATAGGCCAAAGTTGGAAAGTATTTGCAGGAGGTTAAGTGCTAAGTTTTCTCCAGCCCGGAGTGGGTTTAGAGACAGTCAGGAGAGGTGGCCCGTCCATCCATCCGTCCATCCTTCTTCTTGTCCAGCTGAGAGCGAGGTGAAGGAGAGAACGAGATGAGAGCCACTGCAGGCTCTAACTTCAAAGGCAGTTGTGATGATATTCCAGTTTCTTTCCATCTCTGAGCCAGTCTGGGGGACACACTGTCCTACGGACCAGCCCACAGTTTGGACCAGCACCACTTGAGCTACCAAAATCCTGTTCCCTAGAGCAGCGCTCACAGCATCCAGGTGAGTGTTGCGCTAATACGCACATACCAAGAATAAGCACAAGAACAAAGCTGAGACTGTTTGAATTGAAAAGGCAAACTAAAGCCAAGTCTGGTCCCAGGCAGTCAGGACTCTAAAGCACTTATTCAAATACCAGTCTACAGCAAGTACGGAATGTCAGGCACCGTGATGGCACTGGGGCCTACCTAAAATATAAATTAAAGTCCCGCAGGAACACAAGCCTGTTCCTCAAAAGGGCAAGAAGCAGTCAGCTCCAAAACAGAAAAACAAGGTGTGCACAAGCAGGCTGTGAAAGACAGCTACAAATTGCATGCTGGGGAATACAAACAGGTAGTATATGTATCCCCACTGATCCGAAGAGCTTTCTGCAGAGCTGCCCTCCGCTCTGGTATCCACAGGTGAGAAACTGCTCGCACAAAGGGGCCAGCAGTTCCTCAGACGTGGTCCTCTGAAGGAGGGCCACGTTGCTGCCAAGAAGGTTTTATGCTGCTTCGCTCTGAGGCAGCACAAAAAAGTGGCTTCTGTCCGTCTCCGAGAATGAGTCAGGCTAATGCCATGCAGACCATGGGAAAAGTCGTCCCATCAGCTCTGCAAAACAGACTCAGCTTGACAAGCTAAGATGCAATGAGGATGTTTTCCACCCGGCATTCAGAGCTGTCCTGGCACCAAAGCAAAGCTCAGGTGGAATCCAGTCAACATTATTAAAACATAAATTCAAAGTGAAATTGCTTGGAAATGAGCAAAACGCAACACTGGAAGTTGGCTGGCCTTTCTAACCTCCCACCCTCAAATTACTCATAATACGGAGGTTTCCTTTGATCTCCCAGTCGCCTCACTGTTCCATCCAAGCTCTGTCGCTTCTCGCTCTAACACCTCCTTAAATTTAGCCTTGTCTTCCTAATCCATACACTGGTCCAAATCCTGCCCATTTCTCAAAGCACGGCACCCTGCTCTTCGTAGCCCTCCTGCGTCTCCTTCCACCTGCGCTCCCCACGGCACGCCGCAGCTCACACCACCTTCTCGGCCCCCTGCTCTCATCGAAGTTACCTGCCCTGACCGAGCGCCTGGGCTGTGCCGCCGGTGCCGCTGGTGCCACGTCATGGACAGACCCTGCGCCCTCCTGCATCCTCCCAGGATCCCAGCCCAGGCGCGGGGCCGTGTCTCGTCAAGCCTGGGGATGGCCACGCATTCATGTGGTGCTTTAGAGGACGGTGAGGGAGCAGCACCGCCTGCCAGCACGGCTGGCTATTGCTACCCCTTACAAAAGCCTTAGTTTTCAGTAGCTCAGTATTTTTTTGAGCTTGAATCCCTAAGCCTGAAATTCTTATTGCTGGGTATTTCCTTAAGGCTAAATTCTTTCTTCTGTCTTTTCCCCTCGGTGATATTTCAGAATAATGATCCATCCACTCCTGATAATGCAGCCCAAGGAAAACTCTACATTTTACCCCTACTAAAAATCTTCACAGAACTGTTTCACCGAGCAGCAGTCAGTCCTTCCTCCTCCAAGCAAGGGCACGACAGCAGCAGTGGTCGGGCCAGTACGGCTTTGCTGTGCTGGGGAATTCCCCTCCAAGCCAGCTGCTTCACACAGGTCTTGGCTTGCACAGGTAATTTTCATTCTGGTGCTGGCTAGCTTGTGAGCTCCTGACTTGGCAGGACTAGTGCCGTGGGTATTATGAATAATAACAGGGTGTATAATAATATAGTAGCAGGTAGGGGGAATACATCCTGAAGCAGAAAAGAGCGATTGGAGGGCTCTTAATCGCCTAGCAGGTACTACGGCCCTCCGCTAACAACCACACATCTTAAGGTGCCTTGCTGGTATTAGGATTTGTTATTCATTACAGCTCAGCAACAAGAGTATAACTACACACTGCTAAGCTCAGTACTAAATCAGGCTCAACCTCCGCCACCCAGCCAGAACTCCTCTTTCATCCCCTCCAATACGTCATATCGCTGCTGTCTGTCCTGACACCTTAAAATAAAGAGCAAAGGGAAGAGGGGAATTTGCCGCTGTCAACGGTACTTCTGCATCTCATCAGCGGTTGTCTGGTGTCTACTCGTTCTTCGGCACAAATAACGCCTCTGGACAAATTCATCTGGTAGCACCGGGAGGAGCTCGAGCCGGCCCGCGTCCCTCCATCTCCAGCCCCCCTCCTCTTATGCCCAAACAGAAGAGTCGCGTCATGCCATGCTGAAATGCCTGGGACGACTGAGCTGTCCCCGAGCCTTCTCAAGGCAAATAGATTGCTCTGATTAAAGAGCACAATGAGGTGCTCTCCAGCAAGAGACAGCCCATCATTTTGCAGATGAGAATGCCTGTTTCAGTCTTCCTCCTTCTTTAAGAGAGGCAGCTGGATCATTTCACAGTGCCCTACCTGGATTTATCCCCTCAATACCATTTTGCATCACACCGAGCAAGGCAAGAGCTTTAGAGATCTCACTCATATCTGGGACATATCATTAAGTGCTGTAAATCAGCGTTACCCCAGAGATGTCACCAAAGCTATACCTATCTGTACCTCCTGAGAATCTGATTTGGCAAAAGCGTGGTGACATGGCTGGGAAATGCAAGTTCAGGTTTATTTAGTTTTTCAACAGAGAAGTGCAAATGCATGAAAAGAAACACTATGTGGCAAAGTTCCTGCAGTTCTTCCCTTCCTCAATGGAAAGCCCTCTGACTGAAATAGCACAGCGAAATTAAGCTCATTTGTTTCCAAACTGAAATCCCAAGACTCTTCCATATTTGCAAAGCGTCATAGATGCTTTTTGGATGGCTGCTTTGCCTTGTCAATAGAAAAATAGCAAGTATGGAGGGAGGAAGACATTTTTCTAAGCACAATTCACAAGGGGCTTCAGCACATTGACTCTGTAAAGACTGGGCACAGGCTCACTAAATCCTAAACACTCAGAGGGATGAGATGAAAGCCACGGACTCTGATTTTAGTGCTAAAAAACTTCTGCCTCTTAGCAATAAGTATATGCCCAAGCTGTCCTGCAACGCTCTCCGGTGCAGCCGTGCATTCTCCTTCCCAAACACCCAGCACCGCACGCACTGTGCTTTGGGCTTAGCTTGGGGCACTAATTCTATACGCTGCAGGACGGTCAGGGGTTGTAGGGGTTAACTGTAACATTACGAAAAAGAACCAAGTTGAAGGTGCGAGGGGTCAGTCACCAAAGTTCATTTGCTTGCTGGTTCCCTTACACCGGATAAACGTAACTTATTTCATTTCCCATGGTGAAAATGCTTTGCTCTCAGCCTCACCGTAAGCAAAGGCAAATGGGGGCCAGCCTGAGCCAGGGGAAATTGTGAACCCAATGTGAAAGCCAGAGATGAAATAGGTAACTGATTGGTTTAATTACAACCTAATTTCCTCAATCACAAGTTCAAAAGTAGATGGCATTGGGTTTTAATTAAGAGGACTGCTTGAAGGATCTCAACCTCATCATTTTTTAGCCAAAGAGGTATGGAAAAAAGGTCAGAAAATTGTACTTTTTGTTAATACAAACTGAAGGCAATTATCAGATCCAGCAGAAAACTCTCAGAAGTATCAATACTTATTGACAGATGCTGCTCCTCTATTAGACACAGTACTCAAACACACCGCATCTTTTTCCCCCGTTACCCAAGGACAAACCCCGTCCTCAGCTCTCAACAGCCCATCCCAGCTCCCGCTGCAGTACCCCAGCGCCACAGCCCCCACGTACCTCGCAAATGTCCTTGAGGTGCTTGATGTAGTGGCGCTCCGTGCTCATGATTTCATTGATGACGTTGGCTCTCATCTGGTCTCGGTTCTGAACGGTCCTGCCGAGACAGAGGCAGTCGGCGCTTGGATCCAAATGCCCATTCTGCACATCGCTGGTTCCCTCCTCCACTCCATCTTCTTGGTTCACCCATAGCTGCGAGGAGAAGAGGGGAGAGCGACAGGCTTATTCATAAAAGCATCAGGAAGCCAACGCGTGAAAGTAGGCTGGGTCTTGGGTTGCACGATTCTGGGAGATACCGGATCGATTCCCTCCTTCCAGCAACGGTGATGCTCTTGCCAGCGCCGCACCGTGGTGTCCACGGCAGCTTACAGCCCAGACGGTCCATTTTTATACTGGTGCAACCAGCCCCAAATGCTTCCCCACATGCTGCCAAGCTCCTCTTGCAAGCAAAGGGATTTCAAGTGTTGACAGTTTTGACCCCAAATATCAAATAATCACGTGAGAGGGTAACTGGACTGTTGGATGCTGCGGAGTGCTCCGAACCGAGATGTACATGTGTAAAACAGACCGACCTAAAGCAAACTGCAGTTATGAGCGTAAAGCACTGCTTTACAGCTCCCGCACGCCGTCCGCTGGGGTCTGCCTCAACAGGAAGAAACCTCTGGGAGGAGGGATAAGCCCCTTACGGCGACTGATTTCAGAAGGTCAAGACACGCCTGGTTCAGAAATCTGAATGAATGTGAACATCAGTCCAGGCTAACCGGGTTGTGGCACTGAGTTGTCTGTAAACTTCCCAGGCCGGGATTTGTGAATGAGCATTGATTTTCATTTCACAGCAGCTTTCCTCATCATTTCACATGAAGAGCCTTTCTCACCCAGGCAAATGCCCTGTCTCAGCATCCTGAGATGGCGATCCCTAAGCCGCGCTGAGATCAGATCAGCTGAATAAGTCTCCTAAAATGGGGGGGTGCTGAGGGCAGCTTTGCACGGGGTGCCCAGCACCCCGGGGCACTGCATACTCTAAATTGGAACAAATTGCAAAAAGCAATGAAAAAGGATCACTGCATTTTCAGCACGCTAAATTGTCTTTCCATCATGGAACAAAAAACATACATTGAACTTGGAAACTAAAAGATAACGCTGTCTCCAGGCCTCTGCGTCTTTGAACAAGACGACATATGGATCAAGTGCCTCCTTTTGTTACCTTTTCCCCCAAATAAAACCTGCTTAAAATAACTCTCTGCAACTCTAACCGGGCTCAGCGTAGTTTGTAAACAAACATTAAATAAAGCTTAAACCAGACAGAAATACTGCTATCTTACACAGATCACCTACGTTGTTATGTAAATGAAGCAACTTTTCTCCTCAGCATTTAAAGCCCCAAATACTGGAGACTTTCAAACATAAAAATACATCTACCTACAGTGAAACTGTCCACGCGAACAGAGCAGCACCTGGAAAACCTCATCTTTCGGTCGTCTTTTCAGTGTTAATAGTTTCTTAATACTTTCCCATTATTCAGCTTAAATTCGGTTTTAAACAGATTGTAAAGGGCTGTGTTCCTGTACATTAGTAAAGTACAAAAACCTAAACCTGCCCATGCTCCTTCCCTGCTTTCCTAACCAGTATCATGTTTTGCTAAACCACTTCGTACAGCTCCCACGTTTTGTCATCCTACAGCGAGTTATAAAGGCCAGGAAGCCGAGACGTTTGAAGAAAACCCGTCTCTTCTCTAGCAGAATGTTCCCGATGCCACAAACTTAGGGGATAAAAAAACCCCCAAAGCAATAAAAAGCCGGACTTTGCAGCCTGCTCACGACTGTGCCCTGTGTCCGGGACTTCACACGAGGGCGCGCTGGGAAGCGGTGTCTGGTTAAATGACAAGATGCCCTCTTTGCCGGCAGCGGGGCAGGAGCCGGTGGGGCATCAACCCTACGCTGAGCGTCGCAGAGAGCTGCTGACCCCAGGCTGTGCTCACGCCGCGTCCTGGCAGCGCCAGGCACTCTCCAGGGCAGGAAACCCAGTGCAGACCATTTGCCTGAACGAGCGAGTGGCAGAGCCAGGATGGATCCGGGCGTCCTGCCCGCCCTGCCCACACCATCTCCCCCCTGTCCCCCACCCCACACTGCCAACATGGGACCTCCTTTTGCACATCCAGAGACCAGGGGGATGCGCCGAAGCCTGCCAAGGAGGTGAAATAGCCCCCAACGCGGCTCCCGGTGCAGGCAGGAGCCACCCTCGATGTACAAAGGCTTCATACCTTTCCCCAAGACAGTGCAGCAGAGAGTCAATTTGATGTCTTGCATGACAGAGCAGAAGCGAAACCCAGCGAATACGGCTGTCAGCTCGCGTTTCCAACATCATGATGCGCTCCAGGGGGAAGGGGTGCGTCCAGGCACAGAACGGCCATGCGGTCCTGAGGCACCGGCAGCACCCAGGGTGGCTCGGCTGCGGTCAAAGCAGGGCTGGTCCTAAGGGCGAGCAGCCCTGGGTGCTGCAGAAGGGCATTTCATAGAATCATAGAATCGTTTAGGTTGGAAAAGACCTTTAAGATCATCCAGTCCAACCATTAACCTAACACTACCAAGTCCACACTAAACCAGTCCCCAGCCAGGTCCAGCTATGCCAGTTTGGACACCGGGAAACCCCTGGGAGATGCAGCATGCCTGGGAGCAGCTCTGCATCCCTTTCCCCAGGTCCTTCCCACAGGACGGGGTTCTCCATGGCAGTATCTGCTGCAAGGATGGACTAGGTCATGTTGTCTCCCAATTGTGGGGCTGCATGTGGATCTCTGAAAGGGCTTTTTGTAGGATTTCCATCAGCACTGGGAGACCTGGTCGAGCTCTGGGTCACTGCGAGGGAAAGCGGTGAGCTAGTGATCTAATCACACCCAAAGATACGGGCACCCAGCATGCAAACCTCTCCTGGCGCACTGAAACAACCTTCAGAAGAATGGGACTTGTCCAGCAAAACAACCCAAAAGCCAGTTAGAAAACATGCCTCTTCCCAGCAAACCCTCTCTGCTCTGGAAGTGCTTCAGTTATGCTGAGACAGAGCAACGCTTCACGCACAGGAGCAGCGTATTATGCTGAAAAATAAAGGTCCAAGCGCTGCTTCTGAGTAACTGCCATGCCGGCGTAAGGCTGCCAAAGCGACCTCAGGGGCCAATTCGCTTACAGCGGTGACGCTGATTTTAGTGAGGGCTCTGCTGTGAAAACCTGGGGGCCATCCTCAGAAGAGAAAATAGGCTAGACCTGGGAAGGACAGAATTGCACCGGGAGTCCTTTGGGGGATATGTCCTCATGACCGATTATTGGCGTTCCAAACCAAATATATGTTGAAAATCAAGCAAGACCAATGTAGGTATTAAACCCTGTTGGCTGGAGTTGAAAATAACTTCCCATCCTACCTTCCTGCTACTACAAAACGGTATTTCGCAGCTCTCCCAAACCCAACTGGAACAGCTTGTTTCCAAGTTTCATGACACTCCTGCCAGTTTAGCAAAAGGGGATATTTTTAAACCTCTACCTCCTGGAGTCAAGTGAGCATGAGAAAAATTCCAATTTTCATTTAAAAAATAAAGCAGGGGAGATCTAATCATAATAGTAGGGGCGGAAGCTTGAAAGCATGAATCTTAAAGGCTTTGAAACTCTAAGGCAAATAGCAAGCTTGCAAACTTCCATGATTTCTAAAAACCTCAGAATTTGGTCTGCCTTTTGTACACTGCAGGAGCACTCCCTGCTTCCACATCTGGGAATCTCAGGAGTCCTGCCTTTTTCCTTAATGAAATTTTTGCTCCTTCCTGCTAGGAATCATATTCCCAAAAGGAAGAAATTACAGTTCTAGTCTAGATGTCTTCTGCTTTAGATTAAAAACAAACGCAACAATTTTACTGGTAGCAGAGGAAGCCGAATGTGCCTTCCACCCCGTGCTCTCCAGCCTCAGCTGCTGAAAGGATTAATCCCACTGCGCTGTTCAAACACTTCTGCTTTCTGGCTTAACCTCTAAAGTTCTCCGTATCGTTCTTCCAGGGGATCAGTCGAAGCGTGGCCCGTGACTCACAAAAGATGAGGTACATTGGCAGCTCTGGTGCTGACCTTGGGCCAGTCACTTAAACTGGCGGAGGCTTTCCCCCTCTATAAACAGGGATAATATACCTTACCGACGACATTTTTCATAAACATTTTGGAGGCTGACAGACTTTACGTGGAAGCGAAGGGCATAGAAAAGCTCAGGCATACTTCGAAATATGGACTTAAATGCATCGCTGTGGGCTCGCCGCACTCTCGTACTCATCCACGAGCAACAATTTGGCTAGACGGACCTTTGGTCTGATGCACTGCGGCCGGTTTTGCAACTTCAGCTCTCAAATCCTCTTGTGCCTGTGCTGAGGAGGAGCTGGGCTGCGCTGGGGCAGGGGAAGGCTGCACCTGAAGTGTTAATTGCGTCCTCTGACCCAACACCCCCACCCCAAGCCAGATCCTCTCTGCTTGACCGACCTGCTCGCTCAAACCGCGACGACGGTGTGCTGCAGGTGACAGCAAGGTGACAGAGGCAAACTGGGGGTGACACTGGTTTTTCCCAGTAACTTACTAAATGTCGTATGTAGTTGACTTAGACAATGCTGCACAGGTTCCTATTTTAGCCCAGACCACAGTCACCTGTAAGTAGGGTGTTCGCTAGGGTTTAGACGCGCACGACTTTCCCAAAAACGCTCTCCTGCCTGAAACGCTTGACTTCTGCTGCTGCGGATGCCAGCTGAGATACCACTAATGGACAAAGGGCTCTCTCTTGCCCAGCTTTTCCAACGTGCACTGGACACAAATGCACAGGTGTACCTCCCTCCCAGTGCAAATATCTCTCTTTTTATTAAAAAAAACCCTTCAAAACTCTAGTTTTCTCCCAGTTCCACCTCATCTCGCCAGTCTTCCCTGCTCAGGATGGGTGGCTGCCACCCCTGTGAAGCTCCTGTGGGGCTTTCCACAGAGCAGAGATGGGACTTCAGTTCCCTGGCAGCTTGTCAGCTCTGCTGCTCACTTGGGTTTCAAGAAGTCCTTGGCAGTGTTGGGTTAATGGTTGGACTGGATGATCTTAAAGGGCTTTTCCAACCTAAACGATTCTGTGGTTCTGAGTCTCTCTGTCCTCAGCAATTAGGGGCTGTGGCTTGGCACAGATGGGGGGGGGGATTGGGA